AGTGGACTTAGTGGACTTAAAAAAATAACATAAGAAGTTGGGAGGGGAAAGTGGTGGGAGGGATGGGGAGGAATTGGAAAGGTATGAAGGCTAATCTTGCCTCTCAACTTGATTGGATCTAGTATCAACTAAATGCAAGCCACTGGGCTTTCTGATGGGGGTATTTTCTTGATTGGATTATTTGAAGCTTGAAGACCCACCCTAAATGTGGACAGCACCAGATAAAAAAGACATGGAAGACGGAAACGTCTGCATTGTGCCTGCTTGCCTCCACTACCACCGGCGAGTTTAATCTGCCCTGTTTCCCTGGCATTCCTTTACTGATGTTAAAACCAATTTCTTGGGGTTCCAATGTAGTCAGAAGACCAGTAGTTCTCTAGAAACCCTCCAGGTTTTCAGTGCCAGATTGGGGACTGTTAGGCATCCAGCCTCATGGATTAAGCAACTCCCAGATTCTCAGCCTCTCCATCATGGTGCAGTCATTGTTGGACTGACTAGACCCTATCCTGTAAGTCAATCTAATAAATTTTATATATACATATTTATACATATTTATGGGATTTTACACACATATATGTAAAATATATATATTCATTACACACACACACACACACACACACACACACACACACACTTGTCCATTCATTCTATCAATTCTCTTCCCCTAGAGAACCTTGACTAATCCAGAAGGGAATGGGGTGAATTCATTCAAAGTACATTACATTCATGTATGAACTTCTCAAGTAATAAACAACAAAAACCTACATCTTGAAATTCCCAAACTCTGACGACCTGCACATCAGACATGAAAATAATAAGCAAAGAGTTCCATTTTTATGGATACTGAGTCAAAGCAGAAATTCCTGCCTGTCAGGGCTATATTTGAAAATTCAGGCCTAGCCTAATGGGATTACTTTGTTACCTCTTGCAAAGGCCCTGTCTCCAAATACAGCCACACTCTAGGGAACTGAGATTTAGGACAATGACACATGAATTCGGGGAGGATCATTTAACCCACAAAAACCCTATTAACTTTCTTGGCTTCACATGTAATTCATAATCACACACACGCGCGCACACACACACATACACAAACACACACACACACACACACACACACAAAAAAAAAAACAACCTCAAAACATTTGAAACAGAAACCTGGGTATCTTATCATTGTGTTAAAAACAAATAATAATAAACACTGAGTTGGGCATGGTGGCAAATTCCTGTAATCCCAGCTATTGGGAGATAGAGGCAAACCTACCATGGAAAGAGAATATAACTTCTGAAATACGACAAGTGTGAGAGAAAAGCCAACTGAATCCCTTGGTTCCAGGTGTGTATCACCTGAGAATGACGTCCCCATTTTACAAGCCAGTAACTAGAGCGACTGAGAAACCAAAACAAAACACTGGGAGACTGGGGAATTAGGATCACACCCCATCACTGACCAGCCCCTGTGTACAGTTTTAAGTAGCAGTGCTGTGCATCTTGGGCCTAAGCGTGCTCCCACAGGATGTGGGCATGTGTGGCCATGTCTAAGAGCTGGAGAGGGACAGCACCAGGCTAGTTACAAGAGCACTGAAGAATCCTCTGGGAAAGCCAATCATACCAAAGAAGAGGCCACAACTGTGCACTAAGCATCGGCAGGAGGGGAATGCAGCGGTGCCTGACATTTAGTGGTTCTCCCTTGGAGGAAACAAATAGGGACTGAATGAGTGAACCTATGAGGCATTTCACATAAAACCACGAGAGAGAGAAAAGCAGAAGAGAAAAAACTTTGTGGCAAATAATACCCAACACATCACCATAAAGAACTTGATTAAAATGTGTCACAGCACTGACTCCAACAGTCTGTACAGACCTCAGTTCTGACACAGACGTAGGGGGAGGGCTCTGAGGCCTCTGAGGCTTGACAGCAAAGAAACTACAAAGAAAGTAGTTAATAGATTTGACTACTTAAAATTTAGAAAACGTTCATTAAAAGGAACAAAGGTCAAGTGAAAAACTGAGAACACTGTCCAGATTATATATGATCACCTAGAGACTAATAACATTTCTATATAATGATAAGTCAATAAAGAGATAATTGTCACTATTTCCATATGCCCCATAAAGAAAGGAAGAGGCACATGAGCATTTTGTTCACCAAGGAAGAACCAACCAGTAAGTAGAGATTTAAATGGGTAGCCATACTAGATATCAAAGAATTACAAGTATCTTGTACTAAAAGCTTTTTGGTTTTTAAAAAATATTTTATTTAGCCAGGTGTGGTGGCGCACGCCTTTAATCCCAGAACTTGGGAAGCAGGGGCAGGTAGATCTCTGTGAATTTGAGGCCAGTCTGGTCTACATAGTGAGTTCCAGGTGAGCTGAAGCTACAGGGAGACCCTTTCTCAAAAAGACACAAAAAAATTTATTATTTTTATTTTATGTGTATGAGTGTATTGCCTGCATGTGTGTAGTATAAGTGCACCTGTGTCTTGCAACACCCACAGAGGTCAAAAGAGGGCGTCGGATCCCTTGGAACTGGAGTTACAAATGGTTGTTAGATGCTATGTAGGTGTTAGAACCAAAACCAGACCCTCTGCAAGAGTAGCCAGTGCTCTTAACCACTGAACCATCTCTGCAGCCCCAGTTTTTTTGGTTTTATAGAGACAGGGTCTCACTATGTAGCCCCAGATGGCCTGGAACTCATGATGTAGACCATTCCAGGCTGGCTTTGATCTCACAGGGATCCGCCTGCATCTCTTCCAAAGTGCTGGAGGCTTTGTTTTTAAAATGTACTTTATTTTAGTTTTAGTAACAAATTTGCATATGTGTGTACATTTTGGCTTTTGAAATCAGACTAGACTAAAATCCCAGTTCTTCTGCCTTCTAATCGTGGGATATTTAATACATTATTTAGCTTCTATAAGTCTCCAAACTGTATTTATAAAATAGAGACAATAATACCTACAACTGTATATCATTATGAGGAGTGAATGGACTTGTATACAAAGAGCTAAACCCTATGCCTAGTACAAAGGAAGAATTTAATAAGTGATTTCTATTTTATTAAGTTATTCTGACATATTGAGTAATAATAAGGCTATCTGGATAATTCAAACTCTAGATCACCTTCCAGTTCTGTGCCCTACTCCAAGATTAGGTATATACATATATTCAAAAGATAATGAACAACTGTTATTAAAGACTGAAATACTTTTGTCAAGATTGTACAAATGGTTTAACAATCATGTAAGTCTTGATATCTAAAATCCTACTTGAAAGTATCGCATAAATTTTCACTTCATTATGTGACAGTGAAAAGGTTTAGTGTGTGTTTTTAAATCAGGAGGCTGAAATTAGAGGCTAAATAAAGATATTTAAATCTTGGAAATCCTTTATCAAGAGGAAATAATCCTTTTAAGCCATGAATCAAATTATTTGATCATTTATAGAAATTATATTTTAAATTTAATCATGCTGAAAAGAACTGATAGTAATTTCATCATGGTAAAATATGAAAGACAATAAATTAGATATATTTTGTATCATTTACCTTAAAGAACTTTAACTGATATATAAAAACTTTTAAAATTCTATGTCTATATGGTATGTCATGTAATGTTTTGATACATGTATAATGTTTAAACCTGGTTGAATATATCCTCTCAAACACTTCTTCTTTATGGTGAAAACATGCAAAATCTTTTCTTAGCTTTAGATATATTTTTCCATATATGCAATATCTATGATATTATTTTATTATCTAATATATATATACATATATATGTGTGTGTATGGTTATACAGAGAGAGTTTTCTGTTAAAGTGATTAATATGGAAATAAAATTATTTACTTAAAAGTATTAGCCAGTGTTCCGTCACTATGACAACATATCTGAGCCATGAGGTGTTAGGGCCCATATCAAGGTGGCACATCTTAGCAGGGAGTGAAAGGCAGAGAGAGTCCACTCACATGATGGCTGGAAAGCAAAAGAAAGAGGAAGGAAAAGATGGCATCTCCCGTCTCAAGGGCATGGGCCCAGTTCCCTAACTTGCTCTCATAGGTCCAACCTCTTAAACATTCTACCACTGTCCAATAAATAATGTCACAGGACTTCAAAAAATGGATGGGCCTTTGGAGAACATTAAAGATTCAAGCTATACAATCATATAATTGTATTAATAGGCTTAAGATAGTGATTTTCATGAAAACATTTACTACTTTTGTTGTATATTTTAAAATATGCTTCTTAACACAAAAACTCTCAGTATAACATGTGATTGTCACTAAAAACGATCACCTTTAACTTCCAAGTAAGAAATGAGAAGCTTTTTAAATTTGTATTGGCAACCACTCTTTCACAGAAATAAGTAATCACAGATGCTGTGAAGAAGGAAAACAATGGAGAGAGAATTTGAAGGAGAAATCACTATACAAATGCACACTCAACATAATCTTTACATAGCAAACCATATGCTTTGAGCTGGGTATGGTGGTACAAGCCTATAATCCTAGCACTTAGGATGCTGAGGCAGGAGGATGGAGAATTCAAGATCAGCCTGGAACTACATAGTGAGTTCCAGACTAGTCAGGGATATACAATGAGACCTTGTCCAAAGAAAAAAATATATATATATATCTAACAAAACAAAACAAAAAAATGAATCTCCCCCCTCACACATATGCCTCAGTTTTTCCTCACAAGAAACGGAAAATCAAAACGTGAAGGATAAGAAGTAGGGAGGATACAGTCTGAAGAGATGGCTCAGTGGTTAACAGCACTGGCTGCTCTTGTAGAGGACCTGGGTTTGATTCCCAGCACCCACAAGGTGGCTAACAACCACACTTGACTCCAATTCCACTTTTAGCTCAACAGAGCAAATGCAATGAATGCTGTGTAGTGCTTCTTTTATTTATTTATTAATAACCACATTCCTGTTTCATTGTGGAGTAGTAAACTTTTCAAGTTCTTTAAAAACAATATAAAGAAATCACACATAGAATCCTTGATTATAAATTAAGTCCAAGTTATTGTTTGACAATAGGATGCTTTATTAAAGTTGATTCATTTACTACATAAGAATTCTGTGAAAAAATGCACTATCAAATTATTTTATATCTGGATCCCTGCATTATAAAGTTTGTCTCCCAACCGTGACACCCTGGTATACCCTCTGACAACAAGTCACAAATGACTAACAGCAGCACAAGCTTCCTGGGAAGAAGAGACCAATTTTGTCTTTCAGCTGACCTGCCTATGATATTCCAAGTCCTCTTAGTGAAATAAAACTCTCTGGCCCCATCCTGGCGCAGTCACCCCCAGGGGTGAGCTTGATGCAGCACCAGGGCCGGTGCTATGTCTGTTGAGTACGATGCTCACGCAGGTCAGCCTCAGGAGGGGCATCTTCCTTCCAACTAGTTAACTTTGCTCTGACTGTTCCAAAACTCCTTGGAGGGCTGAAACTTCTGGGGGTGGGGGGGGAGGGGAGAGAAAGAAATAGAGAAAAAAAGTTCTGAATATTGACAGAAATAGAAAAGTAACCAAGTCACCCATATCTGAACAAAGAAACTGGAAAACAAGGAACTTTGCAATATTGTCCAACATGGAAAAGTGCCAACGTGCCACTGTTCTAGCATGTACTTGTGCAGGCCACCCATTCTCTTACCAGGCATGGGGGGTCTCTGTGATGAGGTGGTTGTGGTTGGTAAACAGTTCTGTGGAGTCTTCTAGTGATCTCTCCTCTAGGTCTGATTCTGGGATTGGAGTGCAGCCCCCTAAATGAAAAACACAAACAATATTTTAAGGAATCTACAAGAAAATCTCCTTTTCCATATGGTGATCATGGCTTAGAAGGACACCACACATAAAGATAAATGACAGGACAGCAATCTTCAGGGGTAGACCAAATTGATTATCTTAAACATCTTGTTTTAGTGAAAATCCTGGGAATGAGTTTTTGACCCCAAAGACATCTTCTAGTGATTAGGGCTTGGCGGCAGCAACAACAGCATTATCTTTCAAATTTCCTTTTTTGGTCAGAAAGGGAAAACCCTATAGCAAATATGATACCCATAACATAATGTCCTCTCTGCAGAAATTCCTTTCAATACAGAGCATCAGAAACTATAAAATAAACAAAGTACATACCAGGAGAGAAAGAGCACACCTCTCCCCCAGCCCAGGGCAGCAGAAGGCCACTCCTCTGGTGTTCAGAGACGATGCCTGTGGTGACTGTGATTCTCTCCTTGAATCCCACACCTTACATGACAGACTCGAACCCTTCACAATGCAGCATTAAAGCCATAAAACTGCCTTGTAGGATTCATCCCAAAGGTGAATCAGGATGACCTGGCACCACAGTGCTTTTCAAAGACGTGGTATAAATCACTTGACTTTATCCTCCAAATTGTGTATGGGAAACTCAAAATGACATGAGAACTTCCCAGCTACATATGCAATGTGATCTAATTTGCCATGGCTTCCTGGAAGTGTGATAGCATATTCGATGCCACACATGGCTTTTCCCAAAGCCATTCTTCCTGTTAATGAAGTGAGATTTCTTTTTCAGAGTCTTCTCACCCAGACTCCAAAGCCTGGATACCTAAGTTTGGTTTTATGTGTGAGAAGGTTTATGAAGCTCAGGGCACTCTGAGAAAAGAGGGCAAACAACACCGGCTAAAGAACCACACTCCCAGATGGGAGGGTGCGATCCAGCACTGCAGGAAAATGCGCCTCGCTGCCCACCCCTTGGGATCTCCACTGAGAAAGAAAGAAATGAGTGTTGAGAGAAACTAGAGGGAAGGGCTTTTCCATACTCACAGGATGAAAGGTCCTGCAGACATTGGAATTATCCATCCATGGGCGGAAATTGACCCAGCTCTGTCTGCACATGGCTAAAGCCCCACACAGAAGAAGAGCTAGGCTTATTTTTAATCTCTTTCTGAAGCCAAATTGTGACAAGATCTATCATTAATGTGCACTTTCAAGGTACCTGAAGCTCTGATCAAATCATCTCAGCTGATTCCTGTGCATCATACCATGAATAGATTTTGTTCTCATTTTAAAGATAGGTCTTGAGAGCCAGGAATTTTCCAAATTTCTCAACCACACAGGTCACACAGGTCTGTGGTGCCGGGACTTTTGGAGAAGTCCATGAAATGGCCCATTTTCTTCTCATTTACTCCCTTCCAACTGAGAAAAACAAACAAACAAACAGAAAAGCAGGTGGCAGTGGTGAGTAGGAGTTGGAGACACCAGGAAGACCAACAATGAAAGGGAAGGGCAGAGCTAGGTTAATCTGCCGAGTGAACCCTGCCCCACGGAAAAGAGCAGAAGGTCTGTTTTCCACTGTAGACTCACAAATCAGTCAGGATACTTCTCCATCCCCAGGACACACAAGGCAGGAAGAGAGAGAGAGACCAGGAATGCTGTGCTGATGCATCTACCTTCAGACACCAGCAGACCAAGAACATTGCAGGCTCATGCCCCACCAACAGGTGGGGAAGAGTACAGTGCCTACCAAGTGTACCACAAGAGGCAAGTCTCTAGTGATGAGTTACTACCCACTCTGCTTCTGAATGACTCAGTATGAGGCAAGATGAAAGCATGAAGACTTTAAAAGTATCCTCTCTCTTAGTCACATGGGCATAAAAGGAAATGTCAGTTGCAATTGATAATTAACAACTGATATAATTTCCTCTCTGCTTTAAGAAGATGGATGGTAAGCTGCTGTGCCCAGTGATCTAACCCCCGCCCCAGGTGCTGTTCAGGGCATGGACTATGTGCATCATCTCAGGCTCCCTCAGAATCTCCCATTTCCTGACCAGATGTACAGAGTGGCTGACCAATCACTTGCTCTGACAATACCACCTAACAATACCAACTCATTTTTGCCTCCATGTAGCCTCAACGAAATGCCCAGAGTCCCTCTTCGCTTCTGGCTCTATTCTCTCACAAAACTGTTACTGAAAGTAGTTCTAAAAATCAAGTCTTCAAGATAGAAATTAAAAGCCATACTGGCCATTTATAAGAATAAGGGGCTGTGTGACTGGTTGCTGAAAGGGATAGTAATCACCCAGGCACGCAACTGCTTACCCGTGGTTAACTGAGATGTACATGCAGAGGTCAAGATGAAGATCAAGTTGCTGGGGCATGGAAATATAGCGATAGGATTCTAGCATGGGATGGCTGTGTCTGTGGACAAGATAACTTGGAAAAGGAAAATGAGGGGCTCAGTGATGCTAATGAGCAACAGAAGGCACGTGCACAAAGTAAGAAAGCCTCTTTGGTCTTCCTAGTGTGAGACTATCACATCAGCAACAGAGGGATCACCTGGGAGCCTGTTAAAAATGCAGACTCTCAGGACCCAGCCCACACTGAATTCAAGTTCAAATTCAAATCTAGTAAGGACAGATGAGTCTATCTGGTGAAAATTTTGCTAGGAGACTATGTATATATATTTGTTCAAATGTTAAGAGTAAGCAATAAAAGGATAGAAATAAAACATAAAACTTCCAAACTAACAGACCCTCTGAAGCTCATCCTTGGAAGTGGAGCCTGGGCCCCATGGACGCCAGATGAAGTGCCCTTGGCTTAGAGCCCATCCCATAAAAGGAGAACCGGGAAAGAAAACCCACAGCTGGATGGAATCCTCCAAACACAAACAGTAAGGACCACAGGGACCAACAGGCAGACTCAGCAGGAATCAGAAGTTCCTACCTGAAATCAGGCAAGAAAATTCAGGATGACCAGGGACGGGGCAGATGACACACACAGGGGACACAGTCCTGTGGACCTACTGTGTGCCTGACATTCTGCTGTGTACTTGCAATACGCTAATTCACTCCATCTTCAAATGACCCTTTCAAAAAGGGCTCCTTTGCCCTCACTTTACAATTTTCTATTAGGAGAATTAGTTTTTCTTCTGCCGTCTCTACCATCATCTTCCCCAAAGTTTCTCTAGGTCATTTTCTATTTTCTTGCCTCAAGGAAGTTTGGATGGGGTTGAATCAAAGTGAGCTTAGAAATAAAGACATCTCAACTTATGATGGTGTAAATACAATGCATAGTCAGTAGAAACTATACATAGATTACTTATTTATTTATTTATTTATTTATTTATTTATTTATTTATTTAGACAAGGTCTCCTGGGGGGGTTAGTGTGTGTGCCAGGGGGTGTGGAATGTGGAAGTCAGAGGATGATTTGCAGGAGTGCTCTCCTTTTACCAAATGGGTCCTGAGGATTGAACCCAGGTCATCAGGCTTGGTGGCAAGCACCTTTACCCACTAAGCCATCTCACTTAGAAGCCCTACTTAAAAATTCGAGGTTGGCTTTTGCCAGGATAGTAATATGTAGCATCATCTTGTCTTAATGGCAGGCAGCAGCAGTGAGCTGTAGACCTCAGTTGAGTCACTCATCCTGAGGGGAAGCAGCTGACATTCATGTACATTACTAAACTGTGAGGTTCACCTGCCTTCAATCCATTTTCCATTTATGATATTTTCAGCTTATAATGGGCACCTCAGCATGGAACCCTATCATAAGAAATCTATATTTTCCTTTCTGGCCTTGATTTTCCACAGACAGTCTCAATGAAAAGGTGGACCTGAGAGCCATAATTCAGGGCAAGGGCAGGGTAAAGATCTGAAGGTTAGACACAACTGGAACTGTTTCAGAGGTAGCAGCCCAGGACCCCAAGGTCACATGGCACAGAGGATAGGCATAGGACACTGGGAGGGCCCATCAGCAGGACTGCCAGCCTCAGGCACAGAGAGCCCTGGAGCTGGACTCCGCTGTGGGCTTGGCCAGCAACACTGCTGCCTGCCACTCTGTCCTCACTTCTCGGTCTCCTATACAAGTGTGTATGGGGCAGATAGGAAATAATAACTAAGGTTGTGATTTTGACATTCTTGCTATTAAAGAAAACATAATTTGACATTTCTTACATCCCTACCTTGACTTTGTAGACTGCCCACCCTGCTAGAAACTCGATTCATTAAATGAAACTGAGAGATTGTGTCATTTGTCAAAGGTCACAGAAAATCTGTGTACCCCAAAGTCCCTCTACTGCACAGTGCCTCTCGGAAAGACTGCTTTCACATTTCCTACCATCTATCCAAGCCAATACTTTTGCAAAAACATAATCGAAATGTGTAAAAGGAATTATTAGAAAATGAAATGAAAAAACTGCCAGCTCTTATCTTTTAGTATTAAATCCAATCATTGTAAAACCCCTCATCAACTTCTACACAAGTTTTCAATACTTTATTCTCAGTTTCAGGTAACAGAAAGATTGCAGGCAGATGCTTTGGTCATACTGTAAGCAGTATCATCCGTAAGACATGGTCTACCTTAATTAATGTGCTATATAGAGTTGTGGTTAACAATAGTAGTACACCAGAATCTTAGTTATCTAAGGTCCCAAGAGCCTTTCAGCAACATATGGGCTTCTCTCATTTCATTCACACCCTTCTTCACACATGCCCAACTTTCAAGTTGCCAGTGTTCAGAAAGTTCTTCTCCCCGCCAATATAAGACATCTGACTTTTGCCTTTGTTGTTCCCTCTGCAGCTATGGGAGACTCATGTCTACTTACCACTGAGCTCTTTAACAAGATGGATTTTCATTGAGGAAATCTGGCATCCAAAGTCAGAGCTCCGGGTGCATTTTCACAATGTTTTGAGTAGCTGTTACATTACAGAGTCCTATTACAGTAGAGCTATACTGCTTTAAAGTTGTTCTGGACTAGTCTGGAAACCAAACCTCAGATATGA